AACTAGTTACTTTTTTTTTTTCAAACAACACCCCAGTACGGGTTGGGGGTTAAGGCCGGAAATGGGCCAAAAAGTCACAAAGCTACAAGTCCAATGTTTGATATATATTAAGTCAAATGAAAACCAAAAAGCAAAACAAGAAAAAATACAAGAAAAATCTGATAACTGCCAATATAAAAAACAGATCCTGGTCGGGGGGGGAGTCCCGGCTAGAAAGTCAGCATCACAGTATGGCAGATGCGCCAAGAGGTAGGACTTGCTACACAGATCTGAATGAAGGGTATCCCATCTGGTCCATCCGTATGAGGGAACGGAGGCGGACAGGGATATCGTCAGGGTAAAGAATGCGTCTGTGGGGGGTGGAGGACCCGATGCCAGCAAGGAAGTCAGCTGGCTGGTTCCCCTCACAGTAGATGTGCGAGATCCGGTAGCGAATCGACTGGAGAGTGGCTCTGATACGCATGAGAGGATGCTGGATCTGCCACGTGCCTTTATGTCCAGATGACAGAAGGGTAATGACAGCGGCCGCGTCCAACTCTATTCAAATGTGAGAGGAGATCGAGGCAGCAATCTGAAGACCAATCTGAAGCCCCTGAACCTCCGCATCATAGCTCGAGGAGGCCCGAAGAGAGGCATGAAACGTGGCAATAAGGGCGCCACTATGATCCCTAATCAGGCCCCCACCTCCTGCAGCTCCAGTAAGTCGATCAAAGGCTCCATCAGTGTTTAGCTTCACCCAAGGCGACTCGGTTTCAACCAAACAACAGCTCTGGGACGAGGGTGCTGGACATGCACCAGTAGAGGTGGTGCCAGGCGGTGAGGTGGCGTGCACCCTGTTCAGTCTCTCTGGGTGAGTCTGCCCAAAGCGGTGTGGAGGGAGAGATGTCGGTCAACCTGCAAAATAATATGTGAAGACAAAAAAGGGTTATCCATATGCTTCGCATTATTCCTCTCTGTCCAGGTGGCCCAAAGGATCAGACAAGGAATAAGGAAGCTCACGTGTCTACTGTGTGTGCGGTGTCTGAAAATCTCAGAAGCTCAAAGAAAGTATATGTGGAGGGTAGGGAAATATGAGTGTAACTGGTATAGTGCTCCCACACTCTCCTCACAGTCTCACTTTCTAAAAAAAGGTGGGAAAAGGTCTCTGTCTGATAGTCGCCGGTCTCAGCACAACAATAGCAACGCGAGGGGAAGGAGAACCCCCTCGTCTGCATCACAGTGTCAATCGGTAGGCGGCGCAAGAGGAGGCGCCAAAGGAAAACAGAAATGGTGGGGGTAAAAAGGTCGGTCCAGATGGCCCCGAAGACAGCAATTATAGAGTTTTCCATTGCATTAATCTCTGTTTAATTTAATGTTAAATGTTAAAGTCAAGTGAATTATTTTTATTTCAGGAAAAAAAAATCACTTGTTGGTTGCATACTTTTGATAATTAATTATTATCATATTTTAGAATTGTTTAAACAATGAAGGAAAAAAAAATTCGAAGACCAGCTTTGAGCTTAGCAGCTCACTGTTTGAGGTGCAACCACTGAGTGTTTTTTTCCCCTTTTTGCCGTAGCAAAAGTGTACTTCTTTATCCCACGAGATTATTTTGGATTTTTGTGGTTCATTAAAATATGTCGATCAACCATGTGTTAAGTTCTCATTTTATCTCAACTGATGAATATATTAACTTGTGACTTTTGAGAATCGAAAAAACGAGATTGTATAAGTCTAAATTAGTAATTAGTATATCAACAAAACAATCTCCCTACTTTTTGAAAGATATCATTAAAACATTTACATCAACGCCAAAAATTGTAGACAAACGAGATTCTATAGAGCCATCGGATGGTTTTCTTATGGAGCCATCCACCACTTAATGTGTTGACACATGTCCAAAGTGTATTTATTGTAGGACATGTGTCAATACACTATTGGTGAATAAGTATGGACTAGTACAAAACCCATGTATTACATGGGTGGGGACGGTGCCTCATCCCGGATCGTTCATGGACGGATTCATAAAAGTGGGATGGGTATCCGGACAAGTCAAATCCAGGACCGTCCCGGACCGTGCCTACCCGTACCATAAATAATCAACATATTTATAGATCATCCGAACCTAAATATTTTTGGATTAGAAGTAAATTAAATCTATCCAAGTCTAATAACGAAGCATAGAATTTCGCCACATAGGATCCCGAAGCATGCGAGTCTGCCACATAGGCTCAGCACATTCTCAATTAATATATAAGGGGGGATGGCTCCATAAGTCGAGTCATCCGATGGCTCCATAGCAAAACTGATTGTATTGTAGTTATTAGATTTTTACGATTGGATCAATACATACAAACATACATTCCTATCATACGGCTGTATCTTGATCCAATATAAAAAATAAAATAAAAAAATATATAAATATAATACAATAATGCTATAGCGACATCCAGTTTTACAACTCAAGTGACAACTGCATACGTGGAAAGTAAATCTTGAATTGTTTTACGTGACAACTGCATACGTGGAAAGTAAATCTTGAATTATTTAATGTACAAAATAAAAAATAATCACTCACTAAACCATCTTCAATTAGAAGACTCACACAGGCCACAACGAGACAACCTAGCAGGAAGTAAGGGACCATCTTCAATTCCAATTCACGGAGAAACAAAACCTAGTGTTCGTTCCACTTTCGTCATGTTTTTCTTGTTTATTTTATAAGTATTTTTCCTCTCCTTAGATATTTTTTCTTTGGTTCTTGGTCCATTTTGAGTTGTTTCGTGCATTTCTTTTGTTTTATTCGTTTTTTGTCTTTTTGCTTCGTTTTTCCCGGTTTTCTGTATTTCTTGTCGGTGGTGATGTGCAGGATAGGTAGCGCAGTGCGTGGCCATGCGAGGATTACCATCTAGATGGATGAGTTGGGGTTGAATTGAAAAAGACGGGATTAAATTCCGGGTCCGGATGCGAGAACACAAACCCGAGAACATGCTGTGCAGGAAATCCTTCATCGCGGCCGCGGAGGAGAGGTTGCGGCCGCGAGGTCCCCGAGAGCCCCTTTTCTGGCCTGTGGATGTCGCGGCCTCGAGTAATGTCATGGCCGTGGACCTTCCTTCACCGCGGCCGCGGAGGTCGCGACGAGCAGAAATTTTAGCTCGGATTTTAGATCTGTTTTTCATTATGTTCCTTCTAGGTTTTATGATTCTCTCGTACTTTTTCACTCTAGAACTCATTTTTCTCTTAGTTTTGATTGGAATTCGATCTTGGATTTTGAAAAACACCAAGATTCTACTTGGGGATTTGGATTGTTCGTTGTTTTTCGACATTGGATTCATATTTAATCGTAAGCTTTCTATTTCATTTTATCTGTGATGATGATGGCTTTTATTGATATTGATGTTGATGTTGAATTGATGATGAGTAGCTAAATTTGTTAACTAGGGCTAGGGGATAATTGTTCTGGTTCAATTTCGTTTGTGGGATTATTGAATTGCTCAATCTATTCGAGTTGTGTTAAACCTAGGATTGAATTGATTGATTACCATTTTAATCCACTAAATCGATTCTTAGAACCGAAAGGGGAGGAATTGATTGATCTAGGCTCGTTTAGAATAGACTTGTTCGGAGACCTATTGTCCATGTGCTATTTGATTCGATTATTGTTCATTTACGTTTATTCTCTTGTTACGTGAGTTATTGAGAATGAATCTCTGAATGAATGAGTATTTCGTTGTCTTTAGCCGAGTTATTGATTGTTACTTAATGTATTGAGAACCGAAAACGATTGTCCCTGACACCCTAGTCCCTTTTATCATTATTTGAATTGTGCTTTGTTCTGTGAGATCGGAATTGCTTTGTTTGAGAATTTTTCGTGGTTAATCTAGTAGTTGATAATCAAATCCAACCAATTGAATTAGAGTGTTTAGGACTTGTTTTATCTTTTCGTGTGATTGAATAGTCGTACAAATAATCCGGCTGACCTTCTTTGAGACACGACCCGGTATTCGAATCTTTCGATTCTACTCCAGTAAAAATAACTACATCAAAATGGCGCCGTTGTCGGGAAAGGTTTAGGACTTATTTTGTGCGCCTATTCATTTTTGTTTTCAGTGTTTCTCTTATTTTTGTGATTTCTTGTATTGCGTGTTTCTCTTTGTTTCGTTTTCTTTGACTAGTTTAGTGTTTTCTTGTTTTTGCTTTTCTTTGTCTTTTTCTTATCTATTTGGTGCCCGTGACGTTTTTGTTGTTTTTGTTTATGCGTACCAGGAGTGGTCGTGTAATCATCCCGAACAACGAATCCATCCAGAGGGATCTACAAGAACTGTTGGCTAACCTTGCCCCTGAATTTTCAGACTCAGCCAACCGAGACTCAGATAACCAAAGAGACATTGCTGACGAGGAAGTAAACAACCCACCTCGTCATCTTCTTCGTGAGTTGGCTCAACCAATAATCGGGCCAGTGACTTCATGTATCCGGCTGGGACAAGCAGCTCGGAACTATGAGCTAAAAATCATCCACTACAATCAGCTACCATCCTTCCACGGTCTACCAAACGAGGACCCACTTCATTTCATCCGGGAGTTCTACAATGTCCTCCAGACTTTTCCGCTTCACAACTTAAATGAGGACCAGCTGAAGATGAGGTGTTTCCCCGAGACACTCAAGGACTGAGCTAAGGCTTGGTTTATGACACTTGCTCCCGACTCCCTCATCACTTGGGAGCAAGTGTACACCAAGTTCATTAGGAAATACTACTCTCATCAGAAGACACAGAAGTTTCGGACCCAGATCGTTTCTTTTGCCCAACAGCCAAACGAGCCACTTCATGAGGCGTGGGAGCGCTTCAAGGACCTCCAGAGACAGTGCCCACATCACAATTTTCCTCCAGCCTTACTGGTGAACAGTTTCTATGAATCCCTCCACCAGAATCTTCAATACATGGTGGATAATGCAACTGGTGGAGATATCGGGGCAAAGACGACAGAAGAGATGATAGATATTTTTGAGGCGATGAGTTCTAACTCGTCTCAAAAGAGCAGTCGAGGGAAGAGAGCTGTTGTCAATGAAGTATCTTCCGGACGAGACATGATGGCCCAGCAGATAGCCGAGCTCACGGAGCAGATGCGGCTACTAAACGCAAGAGGAGGCCAACCAATGCAAACCATGGCTGTAGAAGCGTGTGGAGCAAGTGGAGTGCAAGGGCACAGGTCGGAGGTATGCCCATCAACTTTCGATCAAGATTTTGGTGAACAATATGAAGATGTCAATGCTCTTCAAGGCTACCAGAACTGGCCTGCCAACGACCCATACTCAAACACGTATAACCCGGGGTGGAGAAATCACCCAAATCTCTCGTGGTCTAACAACAACAACATCCAGCAGCCTCCTCGACAGAACTTCATGCAGCAGCAACCCCGTCCCACTTTCATTCCCCAACAGCAGATGAAACCGAATTATCCTCAACAGCAGCATCAGCAGCAACAGAGGAGCCCAATGGGAGGAATGCAAGCACAAGGGACCGGCTCCAGTTCAGCAAACCAGGACGACAAACTGGACAAGATTCTCCAGTTTATGGCCAACAGTGAGCAAAGGGGCTTGAACACCGATGCATCCATCAAACACCTGGAGACACAGTTGGGCCAGCTTGCTACGAGAGTGGGGAACATAGAGGCAGACTCAGACAAGGGGAAGCTACCTAGCCAGCCTAAAGAAGCCAAAGCCATCACAGTGTTGAGAAGCGGGAAGGAGGTAGACAATCACGTGAAAATGCCCGAGCCTGATGACTTTACACCAACCGACCAGCAAAAAGAAGTAGAGGAGAGCCCGAAGAAGAATACAGAAGCTGAGCCAAGGAAGCAGACAGACGGCCCAATGTTACACAAGTCACCAAACCCCTTCAAACCAAGCATACCCTTCCCGAGCCGACTACGAGATGAGAAGCAGGAACAGCAATTCCGGGACCTATACAACATGCTCTCAAAGGTCAACGTCAACCTGCCTCTCCTAGACGTGATCAAGAATATGCCCTCGTACGTGAAGTTCTTCAAGGACTTAGTGATGAAAAAGAGGAAATTTGGAGACGGGGAGAAGGTAGTGGTCTACGAAGCTGCAAGCGCTATGCAGCACGATCTTCTGAAGAAAGAACGAGATCCCGGGGGCTTCGTGATTCAGATAGCCCTTGGAAACGGAAAGGAAGCTTCGGGGATGCTTGACCTCGGAGCAGGAATCAATCTCATTTCGTTCTCCATCTTCCATTTACTCGGCGTAGGAGATTTGAGGCCAACCCGGATGTGCCTCCAGCTTGCAGACTGTTCAATCCGGTACCCTAAAGGAGTAGTGGAAGATGTCCTTGTCCGTGTTGGAAGACTCATTGTCCCAGTGGATTTCGTAGTCCTAGTCGTGGGGGATGTACAGGAAAATGGGAAGGATCACACCATCCTTCTCGGCAGACCATTCATGGCTACCACAAACACCCTCATCGATGTGAAGAATGGGACCCTGAACATGACAGTCTTGGGCGAGTCCGTTTCTTTTTCAGTCCGAGAAGCCACATCCGTATCCTCAGTGAACTTTGTGGAGGAGTGCGCCTTTGTTGATGTTAGTGACCCGTGTGTGGAGGAGACGACTATACGTGACTACGAAGAGAGGACAATGCCTGATCTAGACGATGAAGAAGAGCCAACCATTGAGCTCTTTGCCGTTGACGAGCCCCACACACCGACTCCAACCACATTAGAATTGAAGGAGCTGCCTCGACACCTCAAGTATGTGTTCCTTGAAGACGAGAAGCAAAAGTCGGTAATTATCTTTGCTGAGCTTTCCCGTGATGAGGAGAAGGAGCTGATTGAGGTGCTAAAAAAGAATCAGAAGGCCATTGGGTGGAGCCTCGGAGACATAAAAGGCATCAGCACTTCCACATGCATGCACCGGATCATTTTGGACGAGGGTGCCAAACCATTTCGGGACAGCCAGCGGCGGCTCAACCCGAACATGATGGAGGTGGTAAAGAAGGAGGTGCTGAAGCTCTACTCAGAAGGGCTCATTTATCCAGTGGCAGACAGCAAGTGGGTCAGCTCGATCCATGTGATGCCGAAGAAAGGGGGTATCACAGTGATAGAGAATGAGAAGAAGGAGATGGTCCCCACCCGAATCACTGCCGGGTGGAGAATGTGCATAGACTATCGGCGCCTCAATGCCGTGACGAAGAAGGATCACTTTTCGTTGCCCTTCATCGATCAGATCCTTGACCGTCTCTTGGGCCATCAGTTTTATTGCTTCTTAGACGGACTCTCCGGCTATTACCAAGTAGCCATAGCACCCGAGGACCAGCCAAAGACCACCTTCACATGCCCATTCGGCACCTTTGCTTTCAGACGGATGTCATTCGGCTTATGCAATGCACCTGGGACCTTCCAAAGGTGCATGTTCTCCATCTTCTCAGATATGCTCGAGGACTGCCTACATGTATTTATGGATGACTTCTCTATTTTCGGTACGTCATTTTCTGATTGTCTCCATAATTTATCTCGTGTGCTTGAAAGGTGTATTGAGTCTAATTTGACCTTGAGTTGGGAGAAGAGTCATTTTATGGTGACTAGTGGAGTTGTGTTAGGCCATGTGGTGTCTAATCGTGGTATTGAGGTTGATAAGGCAAAGATTGATGTTATTGAAAAACTCCCTCCTCCTGTGAATGTGAAGGGAGTTAGAAGCTTTTTGGGTCATGCTAGTTTCTATAGGAGGTTTATAAAGGATTTTTCAAAAATTAGCCAGCCCTTGTGTCACTTGCTTGCTAATGATGTGCCATTTGTGTTTGATAATGCATGTGCAGATGCCTTTGATAAGTTAAATAATAAGCTTGTGACTACACCTATTGTTATTGCTCCTGATTGGTCGTTGCCTTTTGAGATTATGTGTGATGCTTCGAACCTTGCTGTTGGGGCCGTCTTGGGTCAACGAGTTGATAAGTTACTTTGTGTAATTTATTATGCTAGTTTGACTCTTAATGGCGCCCAATTGAACTATACTGAGAAAGAGCTTTTGGCTGTTATTTTTTCTTTAGAAAGTTTAGATCTTACATTCTAGGATCTAAAGTGATTGTTCATTCTGATCATGCGGCTCTTAAGTATCTCTTTAGTAAGACTCAATTGAAACCTAGACTCATTCGGTGGATTCTATTGTTGCAAGAGTTTGATGTAGAAATCCGTGATAGAAAAGGTTGTGAAAATGTGGTTGCTGATCATCTTTCTCGCATTGTCCCTACTGATCATTCACTTACTTTGCATGAGAATGTTGACATAAATGATAGCTTCCCATATGAGCATGTGATTGAAGTAGGTAGTGTTCCTTGGTATGCAGATATTGTCAATTATTTATCAGATGGAGTCCTGTTGTCTAACCTCTCTTCCCAAGAGAGGAAGCGTTTTGTGTTGATGTGCAAGAGTTACTTTTGGGACAACCCATTTCTTTTCAAGGTGGGAAAGGATGAGATCCTTTGGAGTTGTGTGCCCGAAGAAGAGCAACTGGATGTCCTTGCCTTTTGCCACGAGCTTCATTGTGAAGGACACTTTGGAGGTCGAAAGACCGCCTTTAAGGTTATCCAATCAGGTTTATTTTGGCCTTCTCTCTTTAAAGATGCTCATACTTTTCGCAAATCTTGTGACCGCTGTCAAAGGATTGGAAATATAGGCCCAAGGAATGAGATGCCCCTTGTGAATAATTTGCAAGTGGAAATATTTGATGTATGGGGCATTGACTTTATGAGACCATTTCCCAAATCTTTTGGTTTTGAGTATATTCTTCTTGCTGTAGATTACGTGTCCAAGTGGGTTGAGGCTATCCCCACAAGGACGTGTGATGCTAATGTGGTTATCAAGTTTTTGCAAGGTAATATATTGAGCAGATTTGGATTTCCACGAGCCATAGTGAGTGATGGAGGCAAACACTTTTGCAACCAGGTTTTTGAGAAACTAATGAAGAAATACGGGATTTCACACAAAATGGCCACCCCATACCATCCGCAAACTTCAGGCCAAGCAGAGACGAGCAACAAGCAAATCAAGACCATTCTTGAGAAGACGGTGAACTCGTCCAGGAAAGATTGGTCCAGTCGTCTTGACGATGCACTATGGGCCCAACGCACAGCTTACAAAAGAGTCTTGGGGATGAGCCCATTCCGTCTCGTCTACGGGAAGGCGTGCCATCTTCCGGTCGAGATCAAGCACAAAGCTTTTTGGGCAATTAAGCGGATGAATCTCGACCTTGATGCAGCCGGACGTGAGCGGATGGGGCAACTGTCAGAACTTGAGGAGTTGAGGAACGAAGCTTACGAGAACTCCAAAATCTACAAAGACAAGGTCAGAAAGCTTCATGACTCGACCATTGTCCGAAAGAACCTAGTGCCCGGTATGAAAGTTTTCGTATTCAACTCCCGACTTCGTCTCTTTCCAGGAAAGCTCAAGTCAAGATGGAGTGGCCCATACCTTGTCGATGAAGTGTTATCTTTTAGAGCTGTCCGACTCCGAAATCCGGCTAATGATGACGTGTTAGTAGTCAATGGACAGCGGGTGAAGCCGTACTTTGAAGGAAAATTCGGGAAGCAACACGTCGAGACCATCAGTCTCGGCGACCCACTGTATCCTTGATTCCGATTGGTGCCGAGCTCCCGGCTTTAAACTGATCATTTTTGTACTTTTTGTATATATATATATATATATATATTTATATTTCTATTTATATATATATTTGTCGCCGCTGGCCACAGGGCTTTTCTTAGCCGCGGCCGCGGAGAGTATTATTCTCGTCCCAGATATCAGATTTTGCAGGAAAATTTTCGCGGCCTCGGGGGTTTCTCACGACCGCGGAATAGGGTCGCGACCACGGAACATTTCTTCACCGAGGCCGCGGCGATGTTTTTAGGTCCAGAGATCCCAAGTCCAGCAGTAAAAAATCTCGCGGCCGAGGGGGAGGTCGCGGCCGCGGCGAACAAAAAAATCGCGACCCACAGGAATTCGCGGGCCGCGGAGGACGCGATTTAAACCCTCTTTTCAACAGATTCTCGAGCATTCCTTCATTTTTCAACATCTTGCGACCGGTTTTTCCCAAACTCCACCTTCGAACACAAATCTCTCATGAATCCTTGAATCATTTCAGAAAGTTGTCATTCCAATCACAGGCTCCTCGTTCGTGATTTTTACAAGAACTTTACCGGCTAATTCAAGATTGAGCTCGAGAACCCTAGGTCACCTCATAGCCCCGAGTTCATCACCGTCGCCGTTGTCTCTCCGGCGTTCGTTCCCTCCGGCCGTCCCCTCTTCAGTCATCCGGCGACCTCCGACCACGAGTCCCAGCGGTACACATTCCGTCCAACTTTTGTTCTTCATACCTAGCTCGTGGTTTGTCTGTTTCCGGCCCGATTTCTCGCACAAAGGTACAGTAGCTTACTCTACTTTCCGTGCGTTGTTTGTTGAGGCGTGAGGAGGCCTACTCTGGGATTTACAATCTCGAATTGTTCACAAGCTCTTTAGTCCAAAGTATCGCACACCACTTGTTCGACATATTGCCCGATAGACCGTTCAAATGGGCAAGAATCCGGTTCGTCCCACCAAGAAGAAAACCGCTCACGAACCGGCTAAGAAGCGCAAAGCGGGCGAATCCTCCTCTCGAGATGCCCCTCCGGAAGGTGACCGAGATGACCTTTCGGACCAATACGGTGCTCCGTTCCCGATTTATTCTAGGAAGGAGGGCGAGATTTATGACCGTCTCTCGCAAAAAGAGGTAGTGAGACCGAAGGCGGTGGATTGGGACCTCTTAAATGACTTGGGTATTCTGGAGGACGTGATGAAGTACCTCAATGTCTTAAAGATGAAGTACCTCAATGTCTTAAACTTAACCGACTACGCCAAAATCGAGGAGAGGTCGCATCGAACCCTTATGCTTGAGTTCTTCAGCTCATTCGTTCTCGCGATGGGAACGAATACTTCACTTGTCGGCTTAAGGGGAAGGATCTCACGGTGGACAACGACGTGATGAAGAAAGTTTGCGGTTTCACCATGGCCGGTACGATTCACAAGGCCATCGATTTCGATGCCAAGCGGAGTAGGGCCGAGATTTCCCCGCATACGACTTGGGATTCTGCCGGCATGTCTAACGGGCTTATCCAGGACCTGGCCACTGCCGTTGTGTATCGGTTCATCTGTCATAATATTTCTGGAAAAAAAGAGGCGAATAAAGTCAGTAAGGTCGAGATTTTTCTCCTTTGGACAATGCGTGCTGGAGTGCGAGTGTGTTCTATGACCTTCCTACATAACACCTTACATGAGATTGCCCTCACTCGGCGTGGAACACCGGAACTTGGGCATTTTGTTACCGCACTCGTCCACCACTTCGAAATCACTCCAGAAGCCTACCGTTTACATGAGGAGATTGGGCTTCAAGACAGGACTGAGATGCGATGTATCAATTATAATGAGCTCAAGCAGGCTGACCTTATTAAGGACCGGACAACAGCTAAGGAGTATATGAAGCGTAATGCTTATGACACCTATTTTAAAAAGCTCCAGCAGAATCAGCCTAACTCCGATCAGGCAGGGTCGTCTCGGCCATCGACGGCGGGAGACGAGAATGAGCAGATGGATGTTGACGATGACCATTTCCTTCCGCCTCCACCCGCGTGGACGCCAAACCCGAACCCACACCCTGAGATTCCTCCACAGCAGCCACTGGAATGGTGGACCATATTTCAGACTCAGTATACAGCCGACATCCGCTCTATCCACGATCGCTTCGATGCCCAGGACGGCAGATGGGCTGATCTCGAGAGCCGACAGAGCACACAGTGGACCAGCTGGGAGAACCAGCAGAAGACTCAGTGGGACCATTGGGAGACCCAGCAGCAGACCCACTGGACTCATATGGGCACGCACTTCGATAGCTTCGCTGGCGGTCTCCAGTCCATTCCCGAGCGGCAGGATCAGCAGGATGCTCGGATGAATAGTTGGGATAAGAGATTCACTCAGTGGGACGCCCGTTGGAGTTCGGGACCTAATCAACCTCACCAGCCACCATCACTCCGGATGCACAGTGACTTGTCACTGTGCTTTGTATGTTCTCTTTTTCTCTTTCTCTTTTATTTGTGTATAGCTTCTTTGTTTTTGCGTTGGTTTATTCTATGGTCTAACTCTCCTTCACCGCGACTCGACAATGGGGACATTGTCTGGTTTCAAGTGTGGGGGAGTTTTGCATGCTTATGTGAATTTGTGATGGATCAGGTCTAGGTTTTCTTTTTAGGTTTGCTTTTACATTCTTTTCTGTTGCGTGGGCCAGTCTAGTTTAGGTTTATTTGTTCTTTTGAGGTGGACATTGGTAAATTTCGAGATTGGTTTATGGTTGGTTGATGACGTTGGGAAGATGTGATGATGATCTTGAGTGGCATATTTTGATGTGTGGCTTGGTTGCTTTGATTATCACTCATATATATATACCCGGTGAGATTTGAGCCGTATTCAATTCTTGTGAGATATTGGTCGGAACGTTGATAAATCAGAACTTGCCTTGAGTCTTCTTTGAAATAAGTCGATTGAATTTGTGATAGGTGAACATGATTGAGGCATTACTTGTTATTTGTATATCCTTTTTCTTCATTCGAGAATAATTTTCGCTAGTCACCCCTTTGAGCCGTAATTCTTATTTTCGTTGTTGACCCCGTGTTGACGATGTTTGGAAAATGGGTGGTGATGATGGTCGCAATTGTGATTTGTGGTATCGTAAATAAATAAAAAAAAAAAAGCATCTTAATGGATTATACTCTAAGTGCTCCAACCGCTGAATCAGCGGTCTCGAGTAACTAGTACGGAATACCGGTCTAGGAGACTCGGGCAGAAAACCCGATGGCTGAACCTAGATAAAATGTCCGTAAGGTTCTAAAAAAAAAAGAAAAAAAAAAGAGTTACAATAATGTTGAAGCATGTTGGCTTTGGTGAAGGTTTGAGAAACCGGTTGAGGCCGGAGGAGTTGTTGATATGGTCGAGTGTTTGAGTTGTGATGTTTTATATTTGAGCCAATTGACCTATATTTATCCTACCGATCTATTAAGCCTACATTACGTCCCTAGAAGTCCTCTTGATTCACTGTCTCATTAATTTGGTTGATTTAGAGTAGAGGTTAGACGATAGGCAAGCATATGATTGATTTGACTGACGACCAATTTGAGTGCTCCTGTCATTTATTTTTGGAAGAAATTGAGTGAGGCATTTATATCATATCTCCGTACTCGAGAGTTAGTGTTATCAAGTGATCGAGTTCATGGTCAAGGTGTGTTCTCGTGGTCATCGGAATTCTTTTCAGCTTAGTTAATCAATTTGAGACTTTTCTTGTTTGAAACCATTGTCCACTCTCGTTTGCTTGATTTGTGTTCTTGTATTTTCTTTTCTTTCTCTTTTTTTCGTTCGGGACGAACAAAGGTTTTAGTGTGGGGTAGTTGTTCGTTCCACTTTCGTCATGTTTTTCTTGTTTATTTTATGCGTATTTTTCCCCTCCTTAGGTATTTTTTCTTTGGTTCTTGGTCCATTTTGAGTCGTTTCGTGCATTTTCTTTGTTTTATTCGTTTTTTGTCTTTTTGCTTCGTTTTCCCCGATTTTCCGTATTTCTTTTCGGTGGTGATGTGCAGGATAGGTAGCGCAGTGCGTGGCCATGCGAGGATTACCATCTAGATGGATGAGTTGGGGTTGAATTGGAAAAGACGGGATTAAATTCCGAGTCTGGATGCGAGAACACGAACCCGAGAACATGCTGTGCAGGAAATCCTTCATCGCGGCCGCGGAGGAGAGGTCGCGGCCGCGAGGTCCCTGAAAGCCCCTTTTCTGGCCTGTGGATGTCGCGGCCTCGAGGAATGTCATGGCCGTGGACCTTCCTTCACCGCGGCCGCGGAGAAGTGGTCGCGGCCGCGGAGGTCGCGACGAGCAGAAATTTTAGCTCGGTTTTTAGATCTGTTTTTCATTATGTTCCTTCTAGGTTTTATGATTCTCTCGTACTTTTCACTCCAAACTCATTTTTCTCTTAGTTTTGATTGGAATTCGATCTTGGATAGTGAAAAACACCAAGATTTGACTTGGGGATTTGGATTGTTCGTTGTTTTTCGACATTGGATTCATATTTAATCGTAAGCTTTCTATTTCATTTAATCTGTGATGATGATGGATTTGATTGATATTGATGTTGATGTTGAATTGATGATGAGTAGCTAAATTCGTTAACTAGGGCTAGGGGATAATTGTTCCGGTTCAATTTCGTTTGTGGGATTATTGAATTGCTCAATCTATTCGAGTTGTGTTAAACCTAGGATTGAATTGATTGATCACCGTTTTAATCCACTAAATCGATTCTTAGAACCAAAAGGGGAGGAATTGATTGATCTAGGCTCGTTTAGAATAGACTTGTTGGGAGACGTATTGTCTATGTGCTATTTGATTCGATTATTGTTCATTTACGTTTATTCTCTTGTTACGTGAGTTATTGAGAATGAATCTCTGAATGAGTGAGTATTCCGTGGTCTTTAGCGGAGTGATTGATTGTTACTTAATGTATTGAGAACCGGAAACGATTGTCCCCGACACCCTAGTCCTTTTTATCATTATTTGAATTGTGCTTTGTGCTGTAAGATCGGAATTGCCTTGTTTGAGAATTTTTCGTGGTTAATCTAGTAGTTGATAATCAAATCCAACTAATTGAATTAGAGTGTTTAGGACTTGTTTTATCTTTTTGTGTGATTGAATAGTCATACAAATAATCCGGCTGACCTTCCTTGAGACACGACCCGGTGTTCGAATCATTCGATTCTACTCCGGTAAAAATAACTACAACACCTAGCACGAAAGGTAATCGGGTAAAATTGTTTATGTTCTTTCCTCGATATTCATATTTGATTTTTAATTCGGTTTTTTGGGTGCAAACAATGTCAGCCGCCTCGACGTTTTTACGCTCTGTTCGCAAATTGTTCTGACGCCTCAAAGTTCTTTCCCTATAACAGGTGAGCCTTTCTATTTTCAGGCTAGTTCGACCCCGGTGGACGATTTTTACCGAGAGCATCTATCTGCGCTTCAAGTATAGTTATTTTTTTATTTTTTCTTTGAAATATTCTTCTGGGTCTATGGATGTGTTAAATTGTTCATGGGTTCTTGAGTATTTGTTGATATCTTGAGGATTTGTGTTAAATTGTTCTTTGGTTCTTAAATATTTTTTGATATCTTGAGTTGTTTGAGCGGTGGTGTATAGCATTTTTTATGGTGTGCTGGTGTTTGGTTCTAGATCTGGACTGGCCTGTTTGGGCTTTAGAAAGTTCACTTAATTTCATATGAATTCTAAAAAGGAAAAAAAGGAATACTGTAGAGAATCAAAAATATTAGGAGGTTTGAGATGATGATTCTTGCTTTGACTATAAAGATTAAGATAAAACAGATATGTTATCAACAGTATGTGCAGTGTAAACAATGAAATCTCTATTTTGGAAAATAGAAACTTTTGCTCCAGAATCTTTCTTTTTGCTTTATGTTGTGTTAGGTTGATAAAAAGTTGAGTGCCCAACAAACTGGACAAGGCCACAAACACCAGCTTCTGGCAACCCAGACTGTGCTCGGTGGAGCAATGAGCCGAGAGTGCTCTGCTATGGCTGCGACCGACTGGAAGAGAGTTGTCGTTATAAACATCGTTTTCCTTGTGTTCTTAATCATTGTTTACTCGGTTGGGTGTTGTGCGTTTAGGAACAACCGGGAGGACAACAGTGCCTGGAAACGTTATCCTTGAGGGGAATGGAAACCAATTTAGTAGGGTCTTAGATTTGTGTTTGTTCTGTGATGTATTATTGCAGTTTGAAGTTCATGTTTTTACTTCATTTCATGCCCAATGGTTATCTAAATAATGCAATGAAGGCTATTTGTGTTGAAATATATGGTTGAACTCATTTTTTATGCAAGAATGATATGATATTTTTCATGTCCAACTGCCTTGTGCAAAGTGAAAGTGATTATCTTTGTCCATATAAAATAAGCAACCTTGTGTAGTGTAGCCCTTGAGCATAAAAATTCAAAAGGTTGTAAGATTCCTTCAAATAACAAAGATAAGAGAATCCTGAATCTAACCTTTTAATGTTACAAAATCTTACTCACACAAACTGGAACATTGATAAATTACTCCACACATTAAGGTCAAATAATTGATACACAAAAAATATGTTGTAAGGACAATAGGTCCCATAAAAATCTGCTCATTCCATGCATCTCAAGCAGATATCACCCAAGGTGCCATACACTATTAACTCTCACATAATATAAACCACATCATTCCCTATTTATAAAATAAATATCAAACATGTAAAAGAAAGGATGCTAGTGGCACTCACAAACCAATTCAAAAATTACAACCCAATTCAAAAAGCGTTCAAATCACTTCAAAACACGTCCACAAGAACATTACTAGGGGAAAAACGAAATTGAAATCAAATTCACACATCCACAAGAACATCACTAGGGGAGACGACATAAATTTCAAGTACTGATATAAAATAAATAATCACACCAAATGACAAACCAATTAGCATTTAAAGCAAAAAATTCGCCCAGGATCAACCATTCTGCTAGTCTAGGTATGGATGTTGGTTAACCATTGACGACTTCGACGTTTTGTCCCCCTCATATGTTGCCAGCACATTAGTTCCCCAGTTAGGAACAAAAGAGGGTATAAATAACTCCTGTGAATATGACATTGGAGCTAAGGTGGGAAGATTAGCCTGCACCATTGGTTGAACATTTGTGGCACTTTCATGTGGTTTAGAGGATGCCGTATTTTTTTGTTTTGACGAGACCTACATAGTCGGGATATAGGATTAATAAACTTAAATATATAAACTGATGATCTAATATAACCATATATAAATTACAATTTACCTTTAATTTCTTAGAAATCTTTTCTAGTGCCCCTTTTTGACGTAATTTTTAGGGAGCTCCTTTTCTTTTCACGTGGTTTGGATCAGAAATTTTTGGTCCCAAAATTTTATCCACTCCTCCATTAACTGAATCTACCAAATACTTTGGTCCAAATTAGATTTTCCTTCACTTCTTTGATCCATATTCATTAAATCCAAATCATTAGATACAGACCCGATCCACTCCATAAGCTTACTTGCTCTGACCTCATCATTCGCCACCTTGTCGGACACCACTGCAAAAGCACGACACAAATTATCATATCGTAATTGATCAGGTGTCGAGATCCAACCATGATCTTCACCCTTTGGTATGATCTACACACATATCTCCTCCACCTCCTCAATATATACATGTCAGGAACGGACGTCACATCATTGCGAATCAAAACTGTGATAGCATGTTTGCAAAGTATCCCTCGAAACTTAAATAAATGACAACTACCAACAAAGTTTTCTCGCCACGATTATAGAGGTTCATTTTGCGCTTTTCTTCTAATCCTTCTTATTCAAGTGAAATCTGAATTACAAATTAGTAAAACCAATGCAGCCATTATTGCCCAAAACCACTTTGTCAGGTATAGTTAATAAAGTATTTGTTTACAAAAATAAAACATATATAAAGGAGAATAAAAATTTGAGAAGCAATAATGCGAATTACCGTAGACTGTAGTTGGAAAGAGTTGCTGCTCGTATGCGGTCGGGAGCTTCGAACCTTTGAGGACGGAGTTGTTGCCATCCGCCAAGACGATGAGTCGTCCTCTAGCAAATCATGCCACACGAATCCGTTTGCAAATCTAAAGACTCCTGCTCCAAAATTTCAAAAATAAAAAATAAATATAACAAAGTGAAATTAATAAAATTAAAAAAATAAATTAATAAACAGAGCGAAAAATCGAAAGGCTCACCTGTTATAGGGAAAGAACTTTGAGGCGTCAAAACAATTTGCGAACAGAGCGCAAGAATGTCGAGGCGGCTGACGTTGTTTGCACCCAAAAAAAACCGAATTAAATATCAAATCTGGAAATAAGGGAAAAAACAGAAACAATTTTACCCGATTATCTCTCGTGCTAGGTTTTGTTTCTCCGTGAATTGGAATTGAAGATGATTCCTTACTTCTTGTTAGGTTTTGTTTCGCTGTAGCCTGTGTGAGTCTTCTAATTGAAGATGGTTTAGTGAGTGATTATTTTTTTATTTTGTACATTAAATAATTTAAGATTTACTTTCCACATATGGAGTTGTATTTGAGTTGTAAAACTGGATTTCGCTATAACATTATTGAATATAATATATCTGGATTCACTTGGGTTGAATGAAAGGTCCCAAAAATCACGTTGTAACCATCCAAACTCAGGATTATGTTACCAGAAAAGCGTGTTTTCACAATGGATAAAACGTGCCGACAGGTGTTTCAGAATTGGCAGTAAGTAGTCACTAATCAAAACAGTGAGAAATCACTAAAGAGTAAAGACAAACACCTTCTTACGCAATATCACCGAATGTCCTACGTCATCTCCAGCAGTAATGACGTAAACTCGAGTTTAATTTTAAGAAAGAAAAAAAAAAGAGCTGAAAATAAACACTCGGGATAATAAATCAGACGGGCACGGAGAATGGAACGAATCAATGAAAAGACTCATGGAGATATCGATTTGACTATTTGACGATATATTCTATGTCAGGTTTTGCCTTAATTTTTATCTTATTTTTTTTATTTAACTTCTGACACTTTTTTTGTTTATCTTCCCGTTGATTTAGTCATGCCAAATTTGACCCATTACTGTGTGTAAATAGTAAATTCGTGTGATTTAATAGGGCATTCATATTGAATTTTATACCAATTTAAGTGTGTATATAAATTTTTGATACAAAATTTAGGTTATGTTCAGAAATTGCTATCCCTATTATGGTATAAAAGAGCTTGAGTAGTTGATTTAGGATGGCTCATTTTAATAGTATTTTTATTGTTATTATTATATCAATGGAAATAGAGTCTTCTTGGAGTTGTCACCAAAAATGTAAATTTTAAAATAATTGTGTTTATAAATGAAATTAATTACAAAAAAAACTTATGCTAAACAAATGTACTCTTTCAAATTGATTCTATATTTTCTAGTTACATCTCTGCTAGCTCTCAATCCATACTGCTCTCATCCAATTTGACGTAAAAAAATTGCACAATAGATTCTATATTTGTAAGTTAAAATAAATATTTTTTTTTTCATATTTAATTGAATTCTTGAATATATTAATCTATGTGAGTGACAAACTTAAGAGAATGTCTTTCTTTATCATACTTTTTTCAAAATATTTAAAATGTACTAATTTCATATCATTTATTTAAGTGTGTACATGATTAATTGAATATTATATAGATGTACACACCATTATTTATTGTGTATCTCATGTTTCCAAAACTTTGTCCAATCTACCATCGCATATGTCCTCAAATATTCTCAAATGGCTATTCATATTTTATCACATATATGAAGAACTTCTAATAAGCTAGGAGAAATAGCCATACACTTTTTCCATGCATTATTTTCAAATTTTCAAGAAAGGCTTATATACCTAATATTTTCACATTCAATTTCTAAAAAGAAAACAATGGACATAAAACTTTTATGAATTTAAGAAAAATACTAAATTTAACCAAATCAAATATCATAAAGAATTGTGATCTTGAATGCTTCACCAGATCTTGAGTTCTTCACCACATCCACACCACCACCACAGCACATTTATATAAAAAGTATGAAATTCAAGCAATCCACATATTAATTTATTTACACAAGAAAAAAAAAAAAAAAAAATTGACAAAAGAAACAATAAGTTAAGAAGCAGAATTACAATATTACAACATGGTTAATTACATATTATTGCAGGAGCAAAGGGCTGACACTTAGCCAACAAGATGTTATAATCAGCACACACACACAAATTACTTACACACCAACATAACAAGCCTACTCATGAAACCCTCCAAAATAGACCACACTAATTCTTTTTCTCCACGGAAAGATGTTCGTTACTCGCCTAATCATTAGACTGCCTTAGTCACGAACCCGATTTCACGGCTAGTTATAATACGAGAGGCCGTTTATATACATACACACACATTTTCCCAAACAAATCACAGGCAATATACACAAATTGTACTATCACATAATAATAATCACCCGAACCCTCGACCGACAACTCAATTCACGCGTTTCTCCCACTAAAGTACGAGAATTCATCACGAGACGAGTTCACACCACGTTCATACCCTTGTCCTTCAACGACCGGACCCATTCTTTTCTTACCACACTTTGAAAAGCAATCGCCCGACCAATCCCACGACGACACGTGTCCGTCCCAATCGACCTTTAGGCCCTCGTTTTGACTCTCGACCATTATTTCCTCCTCTTGGCGCGAAACCCTCGATTCTTTTCCCGCCAATTTCCCGAAAGCTTCGATTAGGGCCGTGTCCCGGGCCAATATCCATGCTTTTTCACCGGCCCACATTCGTTGCTCCCTCTCGACTCTCTCGGCATCTTGTTTCCTCCATTGCTCCTCCCTCGAAATCCGTTCTTTCTCGTTTCTGTCGATAGTCCTCGTCATTTTCTCCATCCACGCCTCTTGTTTCTCCACGATTTTCTTCATCTGGAAGTCGATCGAGTCCTTGATCTCGGCCTTGAAACTATTCTCCTTAAACTTTTTCTTCTTATTATTAGGGTTATTCTTGGCGTGGATTTCGAGAAGGTCGAGCTCCGCGCTCTCGTCCTCCGAAGTGACGATCGTGTCGAAATCGGATGAGTTCGAGAAGCTCACGAGGCTCGCAAACGATTCTTGATTGTTGTTGTTGTTGCAAATGTTGGTGAACGGGTTCACGGATTTCGAGTAATCGTACGTGAAATTCGCGAAATGGGTTTGGTTCGAAACCGAAGTCGAAGAATTGTTGTTGTTGTTGTTGTTACTCGACTGATCACCGTAGAGGGCTTCGAGCTGCCGGAAAAACCGGTAGTGTTTCCCGTCTTGCCGGCCTGACTTGCCGCCTTTCGTCTTTTTGTAGTATTTGTATAGGTTTTCGAATTTTTCCCGGCATTTTTTCCCGGTCCTTTGGTATCCATATTCATCATACATTATCCTTAACACAAAGAAAGCAATTTTTTTTAAGAAAATTAGACAATTATAAAAAAAATATAACTAGTATAGCAATGAAGGTGGATAGGTACTAAGTTTTAACCCTAGTTTTTGTTATGAGATTTTTTTTTTATTTATTTCACAATGAATGAAAAAAAAAAACAAAACAAAACAAAAACAAAACAAAAGGCATCATATGCTAATGATCTTTGCTGATTATGAAGCAGACTCAATTTATTTATTTATTTTTAGATTCTTGAAGGTAGACAAGATCCATTTAGGATTATGACTTTTCAAAAGTTACTCAGGGTAATTTTCAGTTTGGGCTACGCAGCTAGTCACATCTTTTTCATGAATTATATAAATAAATAAAGGATATTAATTTGTTTATACAAGGATGACCTAGGATCTGAAAAGCTGAAATCTTCAGAAAATGGCAAATACAATTACACTAAAATAAGTAAGAATTGTTAATCTAAAATAAAACAATAGTTTTTTATCCTAAAAATTGGCAAAAAAATAAGATAAAAATAAATATTGTTGGTCTAAAACACGACTTTGGTTTTTGTGCTTGTTTTGACACACAACAAAACAATGGTTTTTGATAAGATGGAACAAACGGATGACCTAAGCGTATACGTTAATAGCTCGACTGAATGAATCTTTAATGATCCCAAATCCCAAGATTTAGTTTTGACTAACTAAAAAAAATGTTTTTATTTTTTAAGCGAAAATTTAGGAAATTAGAAAATATGGACAAACACAAAAACATTTCATTAATTTTGTATGAGCTCAATTTGATGTTTAAGTGCCAAATTAAATAAAAATTCTGACTTTAAAAACTGCTTGTGAGCTGTGTGAGGATAAAAAATAAAGTGAACAAGAATGAAATTAAGAGAAAAAACAATTAAACTAAAAAAGTAATGGTATAAAAATATGGAAAACACTTATAAGACATTTCATTGATTTTGTATGAGCTCAATCTGATGTTCAATTAAATGACCAAATTATAATGAAAATTTCTGCTTTTATAAAGTGTTTGTAAGCTATAAAAATATATCAAACTGTNTCTTTTTTGAATTTTTGGATCACACGCGGCTACGTGTTTGTTGATTTATCCGACGATAAAATTTTTGTAAAGGGCAGTCACGGAATATATATGAGCGGGGAAATTCGATCCTATCATGTTTGTTGATCCGACAGTAACATTTTTGTAAATGCAATCATTGAATATGAGGGAAAAAATTCGATCCCATCTGTGAACGTATGAGTTTCTTTACCTTTTAATCATACACACAAATATATAGTTGTGTGTTGATCAAATGGTAAAAATTTTAGTAATGACAATTACTGAAGAAGAGGGAGAAGTCAATTATACCGTTGACAAGTGAAGTATAGTTGACAGGTGAAAGGTATGTTTTTTCATATATATAATCTTTTGATCACACGCGGCTACATGTTTGTTGATCCGGCGATAAAATTATGGTAATGGTAGTCATTGAATATGAGGAGTAAAACTCTTTCCTATCAGTGAGTGTATGATTTTTTTCTACCTTCCGATTACACACACATATATATAAATGTTGATCCTACGGTGAAAATTTTGGTATAGACAACTACCAAAGATGATAGGGGCGCCCAGAGTCAATCCTATTAACACCGAATATAAAAAGACAAATTCTATCTTATCGGTGATGGCAAAAAAAGATTTTCGTACCTTAATTCGGCTCGATTTTGGCTTTGGTCCCGCAAATGGACTGTTTTTGGAAATAGTCCTGAAAGTGAAAAAAAATTCGTTTATTGGTCCTCTGACAGCCTATATCAGGTCACCGTGACAGGATGTGCTACGTGGAAATTCGCCCAATTTTGCTTCTTTTTTTTTGCTGAGTTGTATGCTTAGGTGGCGATTATATGGCATATTTGCGAAAAAATGCATAAAGAGGATTCAAACCCAAGTTAAAGGAGCATTAAGAGGAGCTCATGAACCACTCGAGCTAACACACACTATGTTAAGTATTTAACTTCAATTATATATCTACCAAAACATCGTTTTATTTAATATATATATTATTCAATTTGTACTACTATTAAATTTTAACAAATACTTTTATATATTAAATATGCTTTTACTAAGTAATAAAATATATTAAATATTATACCAATAATATCTTATAATTTTATTCATCATATTTATATATATATATATTAAATAGATAAATAAATTGTATTTAATTATTTACTAAATAAACATTTAACGTACTTAATTATTATTTTATTTGAATATTAAATAAATATTTACCAAATAAATATATATATTAAATATTATTATTTTCCAAAGAAATAAATACATTAAATAATATACTAAATAATAATATATTTATAATATTTAATATGTAAATTAAATAATAATATTTACCAAATGAATACATAAAATAAATAGTATAATAAATAAATAAATATTTACTAATAAGTACGTAAATTAAATAGTATAAAAAATAAATATATTAAGAAAATATAATAAATAATATGATTAAATATTATTTGTATATTAAAAAATATTTACTAAATAATAAAATATATTAAATATTATAATAAATGATATAATTAATTTTTATTTGTGTATTAAATAAATATTGATCAATAAATAAATATATTAAATAATATAAGAAATAAATAAATATTTACTAAATAAATACATCTATTAAATAACATAATAAATAAATGTATTAAATAATATAACAAACAAATATACTAAAGAATATAATAAGTAATAATATTTACCAAAAATTAAATGTATTAAATAATATAATAAATAAATAAATGTTTAGTAAAATGCATATATTAAATAACCTAATAAATAATATAATATATTAATTACGAACTAAAAATAATTAAAATAATACATAAAATATATTTTATATTATTTTAGTTTTTTTTATATGCTTTATTTAATTATAGTTTTTTTTCTATTTTTTATTATTTACTATATTTAGTATTTATTTTATTATTTACTATTTTTATAAATAAATATTATTATATTATTTAATATTTATTTATTTAGTATATATTTAATAATTTATTTATTTATTTAGTAAATATTTATTTCATATGTTAATAAAATTAAATGAATTTAATAACGTATATTAGTATAAAAAACAACATTAATGATAACAAACATTTGATTAAACAATGCAATTAAATAATATTTATTCATTTATTTAGTTTACTGATTTTTTATTTCGTTATTAATAAATATCTAATAAATAAATTATGCATAATATTTATAATTAAAAGTAGTACAAATTTGATAATATATATATATTAGATAAAACGATGTTGGAAGATATATAATTGAAGTTAAATACTTAACATAATGTGTGTTAGCTCCAGTGGGAAAATTTCAAAATTAGTCTCACAGATATAGGGGGTGACAATTTTGGTCCCGACGGAATGCAGAAAATATGAATAGTCCCACAACTTTTAAAAAATGATCAAAAGTAGGACTATTTCGCCGGATTTATTATTTCCGGCCCGAAGCGCCACATGGCGTACACGTGGCTTATTTTTTACATGCTGGCATCCGACGTAGATAGGAAAAAATTCAAAACTAGTCCCACAAGTATAGAGGAGTGACATTTTTGGTCCCGATGCAATGCAGAAAATTCAAATCTAGTCCCACAACTTATAAAAAAATATGAACACGTCAGATGCCACGTGGCGTTCCGGGCCGGAAATAATAAATCCGGCAAAAAAATCCTACTTTTGATCATTTTTTAAAAGCTGTGGGACTATTCATATTTTCTGCATTCCGTCGGGACCAAAATTGTCACCCCCTATACCTGTGGGACTAATTTTGAAATTTTCCCTAGCTCCAGTGGTTCATGAGCTCCTCTTAACGCCCCTTTGACTTGGGTTTGAATCCTCTCCTTTAACCTTTTTGTAAATATGCCACATAATCGCCACCTAAGCATACAACTCAGCAAAAAAAAAAATCGGGCGAATTTCCGTGTAGCCCATCCGGTTAAGGTGACATGATATAGGCGGTCAGAGGACAAAAAAACAATTTTTTTTTTTTCACTTACAGGACTATTTCTAAAAACGGTCCATTTGCAGACCAAAACCAAAATCAAGCCGACTTGAAGGATGATAAAACTTTTTTTGCCTGTCTGAGATAGTGAGATTTTTACATTTCAACCACACATTGTGGTAAAATTCTAGTAAGGACAATCATCGATAGAGTTGAATTTCTCAGTGTTGAGATTGAACTATGTCTGGACAGAAAAATAGTCCGAATATCAATTATGACCCCTTAAATTTTGCCTTGTGGAATAATCACATTAATTATAAAGTCACCAATAACTTGAATGGTAAAAGAAGTAAAATAGTACATTTATGATATGGTTAATTATTAGTAATGAATGTTGATAGAATCTCTTTACAAAAAACTGCTACTCTATAATTTAAACAAAACAATCTCTCGTTTCATTTTTCACATCATTAACAAGCTATATGCAATTGCTACTCTAATCTAAGATGAGCTAGCCAAGGACGACGTATATCAATTGAAAATTTTTCGAATGGTTTACAGGTTGACAACTCAGCTAACAATAAAATTTTTCAATACGATTAGTGAAAGAAGTAAAACAATACAATTATGATATGGTTATCTATAGAATCTCTTTAGAAAAACAAAACAATCTCTCCTTTCATGTTTCAATCTATTATCAACAAAGGTGTAATTAATCTAATCTATATATATATATAATTACTAGCTAATGTAGAATTTAATAAAACCTATTTAATTTTACCTATGTGGCAATTTAACAATTTTCTCTCAAAAAACCGTTACATTTTGATGTATTTAATCTTCCATTTAATCATTAAATAATTAATACTCATCACTTCAAAATTACAAAAATCATTTTAAACTTTTGATTAATGACAGTTGAACATATAATGTATTGACCGTATAATGTGATTAGATGTTATTATTGTTGTTA